AAAAGTATGCCATCGAACTTGCTGGTGAACCCTGAACCCTGAACCCTAAAACTCTGACACCCTAAACACTAACCCCTAAACCCTATAAGTTTGGTAGGGCTGGTTGAGGGGTTTAAGTTGGGGTTGGGTGAGGGTTGGGGGTTAGGGTTACTTAGGGTGTACGTAGGGTTTAGACTCGAGGGCGGAAAAGGCAGAGGGTTCACGGAAAAATTCGTGGTGAAAAGTTACGACCAGAGAAGCCTGACCCTAAGTGTCCAAAGGACCCAAGAAATAAGTACTTAGAAGATACTAGGTTACAATTTGGGAGAGCTATATTACTTTTGGGTACTTGGACCTTTAGGGACATGGTGGTTGGCTTAGGAAGATTTAGTAACTGTTTAGCAACTAGGCTGTTGAGCCAGGAGGAAGAGGTGACTTTGCCTTTGACAGAAATTAGGGCAGAGCGTAGACATGATCTGGACACCGAAGACCTCACGAGTCAGGCCGAGAAGAATGAACTTCATACAGGGGCCTGAATTGCTAGTTTGTTTTGGCCCCTATTATGCTACCAACAGAAAGTCCGAAGTCTAAGCTCCGGAAGCTCGAGTTTCAGGAGCCCTCGAAACGCACCCGAACCTGCAGCCCCAAATTAGTGTTTACGGGGCAGGGCATGCCCCAAAACGAGAACAGCAGGTGTTGCGGTTGCCAGGAAGAGCCAAGGACCAGGCTGCAATGCTCCCATTCGACCAAGGTGTCGGCTAGATGTCGACCAAGACCTACTGCAGACGCAGCTACGGTTTAGGGTTTAGGGTTTAGGGTTTGGGGTTTAGGGTTTAGGGTTTAGGCAGCGCGACGAGTTGTCACTTGGCCTGGTTGATGGGGCATAAGCGGCACTGCTTCGAGAATGAATATAGCAGCCTTAATAATTCGAATAGGGTTTTGGGGCCCAAAATACAATATGTATAATGAGCAAGCCACAGTCTAGGTAATTATTTAGGCCCCTACATTAGGAATTTTTGAACAGTGAAACAACGAGTGGAGTTGAGCTTGACATTCCAGGATCCAAGGGCAGCCCCAAACCCCCTGACCATGAAGCCAACCCTATGGTTTAGGGTTTAGGGTTTAGGGTAAACCTTAAACTTAAACCCCCAAATGGCCTCAAACCCCTAAGCATGAAGCTCGAACCCCAGAACAGGTGCTGGCCTTCATCCACCGCAGACGCAACGGCCTCCGTCTCTATCAGACCTTGAGCAGGTTTGAAGGAAATTGAAAGAGAATGCCTCTGTAAACGGTGCAACCCAGGCCCAGACTGCCTTAGTTCAAGTCGTGGCCCATGGCAAGTGTGCTGAAACCCGGCCTCACCCCGACCATTATCTATTTGTCTCTTATCGGTCTGCATCTCCTCAAAGATGACATGAACCCTGAAAGGGCTTAAGGTTCATGTACCATCTAGGAATTCACAGTATCAGTGTATAAGGCCCTTACGCCCTAAACCCAAAGCCCTAAGCCCTAAACCCTAAACCCTAATCTTAAGGGTCGTTTTGGTCCTTAAAGCTCTCTGGCGACGATTTGAACTGTCGAGCCCTGGAGCGCTCTCCAACTGGCAAAGCTAGAGGAAAACTGGGTTCTTGTTAAGGGATATTGTGCTTTAAGTTACCTTATAATACGGATCTATCGTAAATAATATGGGTTCTTATTCTCAAGTTAGCATATAATACGGATCTATAGTAAATGCAAAGGTTTCTTATTCTCAAGTTAGCATATAATAGGGATCTATAGTAAATAATAAGGCTTCTTTATTATGGTAACTTAACCTCAATTCCTTAGCAAGAGCCCAGAAAAGGGTGCCTTTCCACTTCTCGGCATACTCGGTCGCAGAGCTTGCATCGACCTTACTTTTTGGAAGGTCCGAGGTTTAGGTTTTAGGATTTATGGTTCTACCTTACTTTTGGAAGATTCGAGGTTTTAGGGTTTAGGGTTCTGCTGGTGGGCTGTTTGGGAGAAGGACCGATGTCTCCCTGAAGCGCATTGCATGATGGCCACACATGCCTGGCGCACACACGGTTTCAAGAATTCGGGATCCCCCCAAATCCATGTACGGGACCGTGTCGGGCTTTGGAGTTGACAACCAAAGCTACCGAGCGCTTGCAACCTTGGAATTTTTGGGCTGTTGAAGATGTAGTCTCTGAAGCTCCAACACATCCGGCTGGAACTTCAAACTTGAAGCAACAGAACCCTCAAGTCTTCCTGAACATTTTTTACACCTACTCGGAAGAGAGCCAGCTTTGCTGTAGACGAAACATACACCCGAAAGCCCCAGCCCTAAACTTGTCGCCGAAGCGGCCGTGCACCCCTTCATGCGCTTGACGGCGTCCAAAGCTTCCTTGGAGCAAAAACTGCCCATAGCTTCTCAGGATTTTCCCTCTGCGTCGACAAGGCTCAGGCTCAGGCTTCGTGCGTTTACCATTGCAGTATACTATATATAGTATATAAAATGTACCTTTTTACGGCATATCTTAGTATACTATAGCGAAGTATATCATATTATCCAAAGGTTCAGATTATGTTAAATCAACCAAAACTCCTTCTTCAGAAACACCCCAGTGCTCACCTGGAGAAACGCCAAAAACACGAACAAAAGCTTACCATCCACCCGCAACAGCACGAACAAGAGCAATAACGCTGGGGTCTTGAGAGGGCTCTGGCGTATGGTATATTTTGAAGATGGTAAGGAGGTCCAGGGAACGGTACTGGTCATGTATCAGGCCCTGTTGGGACCCCTAAATTACCCCGTACAGTATTCCTCATGGTGAATCCTTGATAGTAACCCTTGTAAAAGAATAAGCCTTACTCACTTCCTATAGTAAACCGCACTTTAAGCTTCAGAACCATTTAAAGGAACCCGTAAGCGTAGCCTATTCTACATCGAAAATTCTTTTTCAGTATATCCGTCATAGTAGCCCTTCTAAACGGAAGCCTTCTTCACAACTGTGCAGAGAGCCCAATACCCCTTAATTAAGCAATATACCTTAAACCATAATATTACGGCCCCTATAATTTATATAAACCCTAAACCCTAAACCCCAGGGGGGGGGGGCTCTCTGGAGGTGTCTTCCCAAGTCGCTGGGCAGAGCGCAGCGAAGGAGCCTTCCGTCTCTGGCCGCCTCTCACGTGAGGCGAAGGAGTCGGGCTCTACAATTGGTTTACGGTTTAGGGTTTCAGGGTTTATAGGGTTCGGGGTTTCAGGGTTTAGGGTTTGAGGGTTTAGGGATACAGGGCTCATAGGGTTTAGGGTTCACGGTTTACGGGTTTCGGGG